AACATCATCATTGTCACCACGCCGTCGTGCTGACGGAAGTCTCCCTCGACACTCGGCTGGATCGGAGTTCGAGGGACGTCATCGAGCTGAACATGTGCAAGAACTCGGAGGTGCCATGCTTTCGGTGCTTGATCAGTCGGGCCGTGAAGACGTACGACTACATCAACCATGTTGTGCTAATGCTTCGGCTTTCGGTCTACGAGGGTACGTGGACACACTCTCCCCTCTCATTGCTATGCATCACCATGATCTTGCGTGTGCGTAGGAAATTTTTGAAATTACTACATTCCCCAACAACTTCATTATCCCCGGTGCCGATAGTGCTATCCTTTGCCCGACGCGATCGTGGGCGGCGCCGCTGACGCCGGCGCTTTGGTGGTTCGTCAACGGGCTTATCCTTGCCTGGATCTTGAACGCCATCGTCGTCCTTTTCCTCAAGAGTGTCCACCATGTATACATCGTAGGTAGAAATGGTCGTCCAACGCTCTATAATAGGCGGGTTTTGGCTTTGCTCGACATCAACATCATCGTCCATACCATCGATGTCTTCGGAGGCGTAGTCTAGAATGTCGGTTAAATCCTCGACAATGGCTATTAAGTGGGTGGTGGGTGGGGTGAAATTTCCCCGACCTCAGTCCCCAGCCTGTGCTGGGTGTAGTTCGTAGGCGAAGCTTCCGCAATGGCGAGAGATTGCATTAAGCCTAGCGCTTCATCTAAAAGCGAAAGCCGGACGAGAGTCTCAGATCTGCGGGGCCAGACACTTGATTGAGTCCGAGGGATGCAGACCTCAACAATTTGGAGTTATCCTCCAGAGGTGAGTCCGACTCCCCAATGACTGGGAGAGTCTCGTGTGATTCCGTGTTTACTAACGGCGCGATCACATCTGGGTCTCTGGCTGAGAGTTCCATGGTAGGAGAGAGTCCGGCGGGGTCGATCCTCCCGTCGTCGAAAAACGTGATCTGCCCCAGATCTAATGCCGAGGCAGGTGTGAGCATTGGCCCCTGGACGGGATCTGATAGCGGATCCAAAGGGCCCTCTTTATGAGGATGGGGAGAGGCAGTCGGGGCCGCGAATCCCTTGAAGATTAGATCCCCTCGGATATCAGTGACGCAGTTCAATTTCCCAAACCTGATATGGTGACCAGGGGTGTAGATGCTGACCTGCTCGAGGTGGACGGTTAAGTCGGCACGTAGGACGAAGCCGCCGAACACAAAGACCTATCCGGGAAGAAAAGTCTCCCTGGACACAATATCATTGTTGATGAAGAGGCGCGCCATCAATCCTTCTGTTGACAACACAACGGAGCTCTCAATGAAAGCACCAATGTCGATGTCAAAACCGGCAGATCTCAGGTACGGGGGCCCAAGTTGTATGTGTGAGGATCAATGGTAACAATGGACAAAGGGACATGATGTTTACCCAGGTTCGGGCCCTCTTAAAGGAGGTAAAACCCTACATCCTACTTGATTGTATTCGATGAGCATATGGGTTACAGGAGTTGATCTACCTTGAGATCATAATGGCTAAACCCTAGATCGTCTAGCCTATGAATGTTATGATCCTGTCTCCGGTCTAAGCCCTCCGGTTTATATAGATACCGGAGGGGCCTAGGGTTGTACAGAGTCAGTTTACAGAGAAAGCAAACAATATATCCAAACACTTAATCTTGTCGTTCACGCATACAGGAGTCCTAACCGGACATAGGAGGTGGCCTTCTTCCTTCATCTTGACAGCCCATCAGTCTGACCCATATTGAATAGACCGGACGCCCGAGGACCCCTTAGTCCAGGAGGCGCAGCAGCCGAGCGGAGCGCCGGGCGCGGCATGGGACGGTGGTCTACAACATTGGACATGGAAGGGAACAGAGAGAGGGGGGATTTTGATGCCCGCTCACATCATGGAAGGGAAGCCCGCATGGGGAGGCGCGGGCTGCGGGGATGGTGTCGGAGTCGTCGGTGAAGTGGAGGCGACCGATGGAGAGGAGGATGGCGGATCCGGCGACGGGGATGAGACGACAAGGTCGGGGCCGGGCCGGTGATGGAGAGGACGACGACGATGGGTCGCGGGGGACGGGCGGTGCGGTCGGCGCGTCGAGCCCCTATCCAGATCTGGATCGGGGGAAGGGGGAGAGAGACGTGGGGTGGGGAATGGGGTGCTGGTGGGTTAAGGTTTCGGCATCAGGGGGTTAACGGAGTGGGGATGGGCCGGCCTGGCATGTGGCTGGGCCGAGGCCCGGTGGGAGGGGGGGTCTTTTGGCATTTTATTTATTTTGTTTTATTTTTACTTTTTCTTTTCTGTTTTCTTTTATTTCTTAATAGTTTACAGTTTTACAAAAAGAAAAACCATAACTAAAATAGAGTTACAGTTCCAACTACTGCCACAAAAAGTTTTACCCCTGAACAAAATAGTTTAGTATTTTATAAAATCCAGAAGACATTTTTTTTACCTACTGTTTTAATTACTTAAGTACATTTAAACCTTTTATAAAAATGTGGTTTCTCCATCATAATTACCTATGCATTATTTGGCACAACCCGAACAATTTAGTTTTAATATTTGAAACCTTTTGTTGTTAGCCTTTGTTTTAAATTTGAATTTGAATCGGTTTCGAATCAACGCGAGTTTAATTACAGTAACCGAGGTGACGTGACATTATTAGCAGAGGTTCCTTGTAGCTTAATTATCCGGGCGTTACAATAGTAGTAAAATAAAAAAAACTGGATTCTTTTTATGGTAAACTTTGACAAAAAAAATTGTGTGCTCGACAAATTTCAGCAAGAAATGACATTTATGGAAGTCATGGCAAAAAAAACCAGCACTTCAAAATGCTTTAAAAAACAACATTTTTGGAGCATTGATTTTTTCCACAACTTTCATGATGAATTTTTGCAAGCATACGAAAAATTTGTCAAGGTTTACCACAAAAAGATTTTAATTTTTTTACAATATTTTCTGATTTTATTGTTCATCAGAGAGCATTTGAGCTCGGGAGCAGATACTCCACATCCAAAGAGCATCAGCTTTATGGGTCTCCCTTGTGGGTAATGTAGGTTCCGTCAGGCATCCCGAATTTCACATGAAGGATACATTATGCTAAAATGTCACTTTTTATGTTCATTTGTAATGTCTCGCTTCATCTTAAATATTGAGAATATGTAGAAAACATGGCGATTCATGTTGCAGAAGAATTAGCAGTAATCAAGAAACCACTTGCCCGTTGAGCAAAATCACGTCATGGGACTGTTTCATGTTTCAATCATAGTTGTCTCATGATCATGTTGTTAGAGTTATAGCCTTAGGTATTTTTTTTCACGTGCAACTTGTGCTCTTCCGATCCAATCTTGCGCACAGCCGTGCTTTATTTGTTGGTCGTTATTGTCTTCCTCTCTCGCGACAGTCAGCGGCTTTCTTCCTTCCACCCCAGCTTGTGCCTTCTTTCTTCACGACCAGAACCCACATCATCTTCCCCAGATTGGATGAGCCCGCACTGATCCACGGGAGAGGCGGCTACCATGGGGGACGCGACAAAGAAAGGGAGCCCGTTGTCGCCGTTGAGCGTGGGTGTCCTCCACATGGGGGCGAAGGGTGGTCGGAAGTTGCCATCGTCGTCGGGGGCCTGGCTCCAACTGTGCCAGATCGGGGAGGGCGAAGAGGAGTAGCTGTTTAGGTCGAGAATGGGAGGATTTGTGAGGGGAAGGGGAGATAGAAGGGGGTGCCCTGTGCAGTGGTGCTCCACATCGGGAGGGCGGTCTTTGGAAGTCGGCGTGGTGGGAAGGAGGGATTGACCCATACGGTGATGTGTGGGGATAAGAAAAAAACTGTTGGGGAGGGAAGAAGGTTCGTGGTGGGAGGAAAACTCGATAGGAGGGTGAACTCATATGGGAAGGGGACGAAACAAAAAATAACGACTTACACACACCAAATCTCCTTTAATAACAGAAATATATAGAGGAAATTGTACTATGAATTTTAGGAGGCTATATCTTGACTCTTATCCCTATTGGATACATTCAATAAAAAAACCAAGCGGATTACTCACACATCATAATTGAATCACAAATAAGAAAACAAGTAAAAACATTATAGATTACTCATACATCATAATTTCATAGATAGCAGATACACAAGCTATGTCTCGTGTTGCGACCGCGTGTGCTCCTTCGTCCTATGCTATCTCACGACCATGCGATTAGGGTTTCTCGCCTCCTACCATCGCCGCTGCAGGTATGCCTCGTCTCCTGTGGTTTAGGCCATGGAGACACGGTGGACCTTGGCTTTTGCTGGCAGGAGGACGCTTGCTCAGTTTTTACATGTCTTATTTTGTGTCTTCTTAGGGTTTGTATTCTTCTTAGGAAGGCGTGGCCACGATGACTACCTAAAAATGAATTAAGGTTCTCCTCACTCAGCCCTGTCTTGGTGATGCGTCTAGCGTCCTCGGAGGGCGTGTGAAAGTGTATCTCTGGTAGATTCCGCAGGGTTCATTGGCGCTTGTCCTCAATGGAACTACTTGGATTCTATCTTCTTTCGTTTGCGTTGGTATGTCTACATGTTGGACACTTCAGATCTTTGCTTCACCCATTAACAACAGATACTATTCTAGTGCGCGGGTCCTGTGAGGCCTTAGCACGATGACTTCTCAACTGTCTACTACAATAAAATTTGTCCGAGTCCGGTAAGGGAGGGCGATGATGACAACGTGCTTTTCGGCTTGCTTCGGTGCTTGTAGTCGTCGCTAAGTGGTCGACGATCCTGGATGTACTTTTCACTACTTCTGCTGTTTTTAGATAGGAAAAACCTCAGTTGTTAGCTTTGAGCTCCCGAGAAAAAAAAGGAGAAAACAAAAACACTGACAGACACGAACGACTTAGGGAAAGCCAGATCTCGCGTGCCCCGCGGCTGTGACAGCCACCACCACCACCACCAGAAGAGTAAGCAGGCAGCAGCAGCGGCAGCAGATCGCGAGAGCGGAGGGGCAGCAGAAGGAAGGAGAGGGGAGAACGATGTTGCCCACGACGGCGTCCAAGGGCCGGGGGGCCGCCCGCTCCGCCCCGCCGCTCTTCGGCCCGTATCTCCGCCGTATCGTCAAGGTTGGTGTTGGTCTCCTCCTCCTCCTCGGAATCCACATTCACTCGTCCGGATCTCTTGGCCATGCATATGGCGCTGATCTGGCGTACGGGTTTGCAAGGCTGCGTGGTGCTTCAGCTGCTGCGATTTGCTGGGCTGGTGCCACAAAAATCTCGAATCTCGTTAGGGTTTCATATGTCGCGGAAATGCGGGTTTGTCCAAGGTAGGATGAAGGTTTGTTCATAGGAGGGATCTTAATACGTTTGGTTCAATTTCTGCTTCCTGGGGGCGTTTGTGGAGTGGATTCCCCACACCCTCAGCGTAGCATCTATGAGAGGCTAAGGGGAGGTGAGGTCAGTGGGTGAGTTCGAGGATGCATAGTTCAATCCACTTTCAGGCCATCTGGTTGAGTTTGCATTACTCTGCACCAATGAGCTGGGAGCTGATTTAGTTGTTTGATGTTATTGAATCTACCTGATCCTTGATGCATCAATCAATGGGTTTAGGAATGGGTGTCACCTTGGATTCAAGACTGTCTAATTTGGCCTTAAAGGGTAGGTTCTTGTGCTTTGTTCTTGATCTGGGATATTGGTCTATTTTGATTGATTATTAGGATTTTTCAGCTATCTTGTGTGACTTTGGGAACTGAGTAGAATTACTTCACCTGAGCTGTACATTTATATGCACTGCAGAGTTGTCAAGATTTTTGCTCATATCTGTTGTTTCCTCTTCATATTAAAACTGGGGTTCAATTGTTACAACAAGAGGTTTCTTAAAACCTTCCTACACATACAGGGAATTAAGATAAACAACCTTGTCAAAGAAAAAGAAAAAGAAAACACTTTGAAATCTGAACATTATATGTAGATTGTTGTAGAATTGAGTCCGTCTTGATGCTTGGATTTTGAAGGCGTGTTCTAGCACAGATTGTGGGCATCCACTGTGATTAGAACAGTTACATTGCTTCATTGCAATAGTACGAGGGACACACTTTTGGTTCATTGTTCTGTCGTATTCATTGTTTCCTTTACTTTTGGTTCTGTAATTCAGTTTGTTACTTTGTCACAACTATTAGAATTTTCTTCCTAGAGTAGCACCTCTGGCAAGAAAATGTTCAGTATGCAGCCTAAAGATAGCACAGGCACTTTAGATGATTCTACCTGTTCACTAAATAGGCCCCTGCATTCAAAATATGAGGCAGAAGTCTTTAAGTTTGTTTCAAATATGAGATATATATGCAAAGGTCATGAACTTCTCACTCTTTTGCCATCAATTTATCTTCCTCCATCCCTTTATCACTTATGGGCGAACATTGACATTAAGTCACTTATCCTCTCTCTTATTCCAAATACCCCCAAGAC